ATCGGTTGGCTCGTGGTTGTGATCAATGTAGTCACGTGTGAAGAGGTAGGAGCGGCCTGAGGCCTCCAGGATGGGTGTTCGGGCTGAGAAGGGCGCCTTCAGCATGCATTGTAGTTGCACATCCTGCTTGGAGGCACCTGGGTGCTTGGTGGTTCGGAGGCCATAGATTGTAAAGGAGCCAGAAAGCTCTGGCAAGGCTTCCGCAAGCTGTTGTTTGATGCTCTGGAGTGGCTGTGTTTGCATGTGCTCAAACTCCTGCCGTGGAATCAACCTCGAGTCAAGCTCTACCACAATCTCAGTGATAGCGGCAGTTTGTAGCTTGAGTTTGGGTTCTGGGAGTCGAAATGAGATTGAGCCTTTGGCAGGGAGCATCAAGACCAGGCGCTTGTATGCTGCAGACGTGACTGGGTCTTCCACGGTGATCTCAAAGGGACCCTCAAGTGTCTGGTAAACGTTGGGCGGCTTTGAGCCGTCAACAGTCGGCACCAAGAGGGCGAGATCGAGTTTGTCGGCTGATTTCAACAGCTCTGGTATGTATTGCTTTGTTGTGAGCACGATGCCAGCACGTGCTTGTGACACCTGAAGCCTGTGTGTTTGGCTCATTGCTTTGGCGTCAGTGCCGAAAAAGGGAATCGGTGTCTGCAAAATCAAGTCTTCCCATCGAGCCTGGGAGGTCTTGACAACTTTCTTCCAGGGGTCATTGACCGACACTGGATCTGCTGCAGGGGCAGCCCAGATGAAGGCTGGCTGGGGCTGGATGTACGGCAGGGGCTGGAAGTGTCCATGTCTGCTTGCGCTCCTGCCAAAGCAATCTGCCCAGGGAAGCGATTTCTGGTGATGCGCAGGAGCAACCACCTGCGCAGGACTTGAGCCAGGGTCTGCACATGCGGGGATGCATTCACTTGCGTCCATGCGTGACAGGCACGATTCCACGTTGCCAGAAGCCGGTCTGCATACGGACTGGATGTGAGTTCTGCTTCCTGGCTGTGAGAAAGCGGAGGGATGGCAATGCCAAGACGAGCATAAATTTCCGCCACAATCAGAAATCCACACATGCCTGGAACTGCATCATGGGCACGACAATGGAGGATGAAGCGCTGTGTGTTCCCACCCAAGTCAGTGCGCAACTTTTGAATGAGTGGCAAGAGCCTGCCAGCCGTCTGGGGACCTGATGTCAAGAAGAAGAGCACCTGCCCATTGGAGCGGTAAGCTTCTGCAAGAATCCAGTGATCATTCTCTTTGATGATCCACTGCACATGCCTGTAGGGCTGAACATTGGGTGGTGGAGCATCCAAGTAGAACAGCTCTTCTTGAACAGAGTCCCAGACTGCAATCGGGCAGATCAAGATGTCTGGAAGCATCGAACGCGGACCCTCAAGTGCAAAGTCGATCTCATCAGAGTTTGCCCAAACTGGGTTGCTTTCAAGCTGAGCTATGCGGCTTAGAATCCTGTCTGCAATGGCTGTTTGGTGGTCTTCCAGGGACACATAAGGTTCTGGAACAATCCTGGCCTGGAAATCCGGTGGGTAGGCTGTAACCAATGCTCTCTGCTGAATGGATCCAGTCTGTTCCAGGCGTCTGGCCAACGCCACAAAGAAGTGCAGCCATGGACCAAAGTGGCGGAGGGGCACCTGCATCGTGCCAGTCTTCAATTGCTGATTGTAAGACGATCGTGATCTGTTCAGTCAAATCCTGGTTGGCTGGCAGCTGGTTGTCAATGGATGCAATTGTGTCTGCAAGTCCAAGGGCCGTGGCCCAACGGTGGATCAGCTGCCACCCACAAAGATGTGGAATGTGGTGGTTGTGCTCGTGAGTGATCTGCATCCTGTGGGGGCCAACATCCATGAGCCGGGCAACGATGAGAATGATCCGTGTGTGCAGGTGCCGTGGAACCTGTACTGTGGTGACTTGGACATCATCACCTTGCCGTGTAATCTCCATTGCGCACCAGTGGTTGTCAACGAGCACCGGCATGTGTGTTGTGGCTGAGGGCCAGACTGAGGGTGGCCCAAAAGGGCTCTCCTGGAACTCAGCGGTTGTGGAGTCCCAATAAACAGGGGGGGAATAGCGGGGGCCATCCGCTAAAGCCCATTGGAGGTGCTGACAGATGAAAGCCATTTCATCCGCTGCTAGCCAGCCGTGAGTGTTTGTTGCAAACTCTGCCCGTTGGGAGAAAGTTGCATCAGCCTGGAGAAAGGATGGGGCGCCGGTGAGATGGTGCCCTCCTGCTGCAATGCACAGGCTAGGTGTAAGGTGCAAGATGTCTCCGTTGGCAATGGAGCAATCTGGAGGTGAAAGTGTTCGAGTGTTGATGTGCTGGATCTGGTATATGCTGCCCTGGAGATCAAACTTCTGATCTCTTGGAATGGTCATGGGAAGCACACAGCTCCACAATGGTGCTGGTTCTGGAGCCTGGAGGATGACACACCGTGTGTCCTGCCTGTCTGGATGCCAAAAGATGATGACTGAGTGCAGGGATGTCATACTGAACTGCCGATACACACAAAGTTCGTGCTTGGTCTCAATCCGAAGTTGGTGAACGACTTTGTCGTGGTCCGCCGTAGGAATCCAACAGGAGAAAGAGAGACCCTGTGTAGGCTCCAATATCGTGAAGTTGGTGTGTGCAGTGGGCAGTCTCTCACAGGTGTTGTCGAGTAGGCGTAGTACGCCTGCTTGGTGGAGGGCAAGAAGCACCTCACTGGCCGGCTGCTGGAGAACAACACAAGGAGTCTGCTGGGAATCTGCAAGTGGCACAAAAGGGAGCGTAGGTGAAATGGGTGCAATCTGCATGTCCTCAGTCTTGATGCGCTTGGGCATAAGTGTTGCCTGGCCTTGTGACTCGATCACAAAAACTCCGACTTGAGTGTCATCACAGAGCAGCTCCCACCGAAGTGATGTGTGTAAAAGCTCTCTCAGGCTGGTGGCCTGCACGTATGTTGCGTCCAGGTGCTTGAGTTTGAAGTGCCAGAGCAGCTCAGGTGGGGCTTGGAGGATTGAGCGCAAACACTGCCCCCAAGATTGTTCACTCTTGTGAGAGCCACAAGCCGTTGTGGCCTCATTGTGGAAGTAGACGGTGCACTGGAGGTTCCCATCGAGGGATGGCTGGTTGTTATACTTGATGTAGTTGGCAACATTGGAATGCCTCACAATGTGGATCCAGTCTCCTTGCTGGAACAGAACAGAGTTGAAAGCGGTGAGCCGCTCTAACCAGCATGACCGTACGAGGCCAAGAATGTCGAGTCGCACAGGGAGAACTGTCTGAAGTCCAACGAGGAGGGCAAGTGCTGCATGTGGAACAGCGATAGCATTGCCAATCAGTCGAAAAGCTTCGCCAAGCTTTGTAGGCAGTGTGAGGTCGTCACATCCGCCCAAAAGGGCGATGAACATGGCCGGATCAAAGAAAGCATAGCCTCCCGGAGTGAGTTGGAGTGCAGCAAAGATGCCACGGGCATCAAGGTGATGCTCTGCAAGAGCATGCTGAGTGGAGTAGCTGGCACACAAGGTGGGAAGTGGGTCCGTCTCACTTGGGATGCGACTGGCAAGTACCTCAGTAGGTGAGGGTGTGCGTCCCTCAAATTGCTTGCGCTTGGCTGGAGGCAAAAGGTGGACAGCGCCGTACTTCTGCTTCTCAGTGTCACTCAAGAGGATCTGATTTTGCCATGACCTCGGTAGCACAAAGCGGTATGCATCATCGGTCCACCCTGGTTTGGGACAAATGCTCAAGGGCAGAGTGACGTCGAGAGGGACAGACTTGACGTCGGTTCGAACCCAACAGCATAACCATCGATTCCTGGAATGGGGCGAGATCTTGTGAAGGCTGGCAATTTGAGTCCATGCCATCTTGTAACCTAAGGCACTGGCAATAAACTTGATCACTGGAAAGTGTTGATGTGAGTTCAACTCGTCAACACATTCCGCCAAAATTAAAATGGCTTGTGAGCAGAAAGCCAGTACCAACCCATCTACAAAGGCTATGCCATTGAGCGAATGCAAGCCGGTGAGTCTGCCACCTTTGGACCAGCTTTGGCAAGGTGGGCTAAGTGTCACCATGAGGTTCACCTGATGTTGACATAGGTTGAGCACTGACAAATCTTTGACCTGGCCTAAGACTCGGATCTTGGCGGCAGGCATCCATGCACCAAAGGGGGAAAGAGGGCATGTCAGCACCTGGCCTTCCCCATCAGCAATCCATGCATTGGCCACTTCAACAGCAGCGTCAAGCTCAATCTCTTGCCCAATGGCAACACCTGTGACATTGTTCGAGATCCACTTTGCAGCCTGCGTCCAACCGGAAAAACTGCCTGAGAAAAGATGCAAGGCGCTCCATGTCATGTCTGAGATGAACTCTGGGCGGATTCCAACTGCTACCGTTTCAGTGAACACAATCTTAGAAGAGGAGGAAGACGTAATGCATCCAACACAAATCACATGTGCTCCAACGAAAAGGTTGGCAGGTCTCTCAGTCATCCTAGGAATCACCACATCATAGTTCGTACGAAGGTCAGCAGCGTCCACAAACCCCCGGTGAGGAAGGAATTGGAACAAGCCAGCACTAAGAGTGTCGCCGGAAATGGCAGTCACTACACCAGCAATGCAAACCTTGTCATCCAATCGAAGTGTCCACGTCGGGGCCGAAATGGATTCCACCAAGGCACGAATCTGGTGGCCGGGGGGCCCATCTATATCCCGCATCAACTTCGAAACAGCCATGGCTCCATCAAATGTCGCAAGGAAACCGGTCTCCAAAAGAACAGCACCAAGGGCAGGACCAGGAGGACCGGTCCCTTGTCGACACCACCCGGTGCAAACGGATGCACCCAAGCGGCCGTGGGTGGCCCGATCACCCAAAACCCCAGGCGTTTGGGCCAGAGGGCTCCGGTATATACTGTATATGGTTTTTGGTATTATGATCGGCATACCGTATACATTTGTATACTGTTTCTTGGTGCAGCGCAGCAAAGGAGAAAACACGTCCGTTCTCCGCTCCTCAGCTCGCAGAGGTCTCGCGCTCGCTGTTACCTGCGCCGCGACGGTGGCGGACACGCGCTCGGCCAGCTGGCACCTCCCGGGCGCTTGGCCAGGCAGAAGCGGCGAGGCGCGCACCGGCGGCGTTGGATGTCGATAGAAAATCCGTTGGACGTGATGATTTTGGATCAGTTGGCAGGTAGCCTCCAAGAAAGCAACAGCGGAAAGTATTCGAAAGCTTCTAAATGTTGTAAGCCAAGGCAGTCCTTTGTTGGTTGTTGATACTATATAATACTATAGTTTGGTTGATTCACCCAAGACACTGTGTTCCAAAGCTTTGAGGTCAGTGTTCTTTTGTGCAAAAGAGACATTGCCATGGGTAAAGCAAACCACAAGCTGCATACAAGTTGGGGAGACAAAACGAGACTCAACATGATCTTTACATGGCAGCAGGTGACCAGGTCCATGCAGCTTCCAGCTTGGCATATTTTGCGGCGTTTGAGTTCAACGCTGTATTGTTTTACTGCTAACGCTAACGAATCCATGCTCAATGACTCGCACCCGAACTCTCAAAAAGCACTGTAAGGCCTATGGACGTTTACACGTGTGGCGTTGCTGTGCGAAGGAGACACTGAAGAGGCGAGTTGTGTCGAAACTGATTGTTTTGGTATGGGATTGTTCCTCTTCCAGTGAACATGTTTCGATACGGGAGAAGACACTGAGAAAGCTATTCAACAGGATTTTTCAGGAACCGGGTTCATAGAGCAAGTCCACCATCTTGAAGCAAGCCGAATGCACAATGTTGACTCAGTGACTTCGTTTTTTTAAACCTTCCCGGTGACCCAGTGACTTCCCAAATTGGTGACACACTGCCAGGTGGTCGAGGTCTTGGGGGATCTAATCGGCAACACCGCCACGGTGGTGCCTTTGGGCACTGACCTCTCAGAGGAGCCACTGCCCGTGCGCCGGGCATCGGCCAGGCGCCGCAAACACGTTTTGGTTCCTCTTGTACTCCAAGAGTGAATGGAATTTGATGAACCATGTGGATATATATTGTTATATATTGTTATATGTATTTAATTCTATACACAGTGACCTGCTGAAAGATAGAATATGTCTCATTGGAAATTGGAAAAAATGCAAATGAAAAATACATCCTTTACGTCCGCCAAGGGATAGAATACTATAGAATATTCCCTAAGAGATATTCGATTCTATCCCCTTCCGGACTATTCTATCTATCTCTTTCTGCGATACGCAACGTGTGCAAGAAAGAATTTCCGAATGTGGGATGCTTTCTTTAATCCAGAGGCTCATCACAGTACAGCGGGGATCCAGTGCAGCTCGTCACAGTGCACAGCGGGGATGTACGCAGTCCGTGCAGTGATGTCAAGATGAAAAAAGACAATCAAAAAAACATAGTTTGTTATTCTATATATATATCTTTCTCATTCGCAACGCAATATTCTATCTTTCAGCAGTCACTATACACATGCTCACCCCCATGATCTACCTGTGCCTGCTTTTCAGCTCTTCTACCATTTCCTGCTTTTCAGCTCTTTTTGCTTTTTTCATCCACCATTGGACCATACCTCATGTGCTATGAGGTCGTCTTCACTTCAGTCCACATATTTGCAGCTTTTCATGAGGTAGCAGCTTTGCTAGCTGTCTCGACCTGAAGTGTGATATGTAAACTCGTGCAGATTCACAGAGTTTGATGTATCCATGTAGCTAATTGCAGGTGGCAAGTATCTTTACATGTGGATCTTCCAAAAGTGAACGAGAGCAGTTTGCAAAGTGTAAGGTCCAGTGATTCGAGAAACAAATGATGGAAAAAGAGCAGCTGTGAAGCGGTGTTTGAATCCCATTCCCTCTTTATACAGCAGCCATTGTGGAACAAGATATTTCCTTGTGCTGTTCAGCCTTTCCTGTAGTTGGAAACATTTGGAAACACTTGGACATCAACAGTTGGGAAAAATAGTCGAAAAATCAACAGTTGGAAATCAACAGTTTGAAAAGGAAGTCAAAAATAGTGAAAAGCGTAGACATTACCGCAGGGGATGTTGTTATTAAGAATCATACCAGAGCAAAGTTCAGACAATTTTTGAGGGGATAACACGATTTTAACTTGGAAAGGCGCAGGCGTTAAACCAGGGCTCCCTTCGTCGACAAGGTTTTTGCAATAACTTGACTAGATTGTTAATAAGAGACTAAACAACTAAGAAAAAGGGGAATCAATACTAATTCCGAGGGATCTTAAGAGGAAAAGGGGGATCCATGAAGGGAAGAAATGCGAGGCAATCCCGATGAACACATTGCAAAATGCAATCTAATTTCTATACTGTGTTTGTGCCTGCATTGTCCGATGCGCCTGCTGTGAAAAATACGAGCCAAAAGCAATCTGGTGTATTGAAAACGATTGTTGCTTTTTGGGTTTTTGGTATTTGTTTGTTTGGTTATTGTTTTGGTTTTTGGTGTTTGCTTTACCAAAGCACTATGTGAAGCTGATAATTATGTGTGTTGCCTCGCTCGCCTCCAGTGTATCTTCCTTGTGGCCCATACAAAAACAATACAAACAAATACAATTTGTCCACTACCCCAGATATTCTTCGATTCGGTTGGTTTTGTGTTGTTTGATCAAAACTCGTTAAAATAGGTGTTGTTTGTTATTGTAGCATTTCATTGAACATGTGCCTGTGGTGATGAGGGGCATTCATTTCTGATAGGTGACAAAGGTAGTTTTTGCATGGGCAGACCCACAGACAACAGTCCCTAAACCCTAAACAGCTGTAGGTAGACCATTGGGGGAGTGTCCACCCGAGACAGATATATGGGTGCACGCCGATTGATTAGGGGGCCCTGGTAGGAAAGTACGCCCTTTTAATTGATTTATCAAAACCCAGTCTTGATGACACATTATTGGATGTTTTGTCTCGAACTGTTTAAACACAAACATGTTTTGTATTTATATGTGTTTATATACATGACATGACTCATCATGACTCTGTATACATACATATAATACTATGTGCATGTGCAAAACATTGGCATGTTTTGCGCCAGCATTCCTGAACTGTAGTTGTTGTTGATTTGTTGCCAGGCATCTTCGGGCCGTAAACTGCTGGGACTATGAGCCCTGGCTGCTTCGCTGGGTTTTGCAGCCTGAGATGCCTTTGGCAGAACAGCTGCCAGAGGAGCAGCCACAGGAGCCAGAGGCCGGTCGGACCAGAGGGGGTGTATATCCCCCGCACCCAGACTTGGCGCACTGCTGGTTGGGGTTGGCCCTGCGGTTGGTTCCAAATTGTTTTCGGGATTGATCCAAACGGTTCAGAGGAGGGTTGTTCGACAGTGGTTCAGGGTTTCACTTCTCTTTGGGGATATGATTTTTGGCTTGAACAGATGTCTCTAATTGAGTCGACCGGTGAGACTAGTGAGTTTGGGTGTCGCTTGCATATTTCAGGTTTGAAGGACCTCAGGGTTGCCTTCACTTGGAGTGTCCTGCAGAGGGACGGCCAAACTGGGATGTTGAAGAGAATGACAAATGACATCGAAATAGATACCAATGAGCCGCGTGGCCAAAGCGGCATGACCTCCTTGTGGATCATGTCCGCAGACAAGTCCCCACTTGTATTTTTCCCAACCATGCAGGGATGCCACTCCAAATCAACGTGTCACAGGATTGGATCAGAGAGTTTTCGCAGATCAATTGGCATTCATGGCCAGACGCTGCCTCCTCCTATAGACCTCAGGTGATGCCGGCCTTCGCAGCACGTCTAGCCATGTCCGCGACGTCACGGCGCTTGGCACTGCAGCGCCAGCGCAGCAGCTGGGGCGCACGTCGTGAGCGCCAGGCTTTGGCCTGGAAGCTTTTGAGGGATTTCTTGGACCCGGCAAAGGCGTCACTGGGCAAAAAGGCCGGCTAAGCAAGTTGGGGTGGGTTGAGAGATGTTGGGATGGTGTTTGGGGCCCAAAGCAATAAAATCTAGCTGCGGCTTTTAGAGTGGCATTTACGCTTCTACTATGTTTCGAAACTACGCCTACAGGTCGATTCTGTTCAATTCTTGCATGTGTTTAGATGCTCTTGACGGACATTAAGGGCAAAGGCTTCAAGAGAAGCTTAGGCTTTAAGTACAAAGTTGATAGTGTTGGCTTTGGTGGAACTCCCAGACAATCAAGGCCACGTTCAGTGCAGCCTTGCAGGAGGATGCATTCAAACGAGTCATGTTGGTACTCAGCCCTTGTGCCCATCGTTTATTTTACCCCAAAGTTCTGTCCAAACATGAAGATGCACATTGCGACCTGAGTGCTTGGGAAAGCTGATGAAAAACCGATTCCCAATGATTTTCCTAACGCGATTCCGTGAGCTGTGCTGATTCCGAGCCGCCCCACGGGTCCGAGCTGAGGAAATTGCTTCTGGATTTCACCTACCACGCGCAGCCTGCGAGTTTGCTGGGTCTTTATGGCGATGCCTAAAAACGCACGGCAGATGCAGCGAAAACCGTTGGCGATGCAGCGATGCGCGTGGATCGTGGGCTGCTGCAATGCGATGTTGACAGCGGCTGATGAAGGCAATACAGCATCTCGGAGGAGAAGGCTTCAATCCGACGGCCCAAACCAAGTTCGAACAATCTGCCACAGGAGACGTGCTGCCCTGGGTTTCCCCAAGATGTGTCATTTTGCGCTGTCGAGAAGCTTGAGATCTTCGGTCGAGACTGGGATCGAAGGCTGTTTGGATTGCTGCGAAAGGAGGCAAAATGATTTGGGCGATCATGGGCACCTGCAGCTGAACTGTTTTCGTTCCGGAACATACATTCAGAGGTTTTGCATGACGTCGATGCTCGGCTAAGGCTAAGGCAGGATATGCACGAACTTGAATTGGTCCATTTGCATCAGATTAATCTAAAATGTACATTTGGTCCAAGATTGCCAGGTCCTAGTTACATGGCGGGGGTGTTCTTTTTTCAAGTTGACGGGGTCATTCCCGTCAAACCTTGCACGATGTCAACAAAGGCGGCGTTGTTGCAATTTGGGACAACAAGATTGAGCGATTTTTATGTTCAAAGCAATGGCTCCATGATGCTTCATGCATGGCGAATGACACTGATCTCTCATGACCCATGGCGTTTTACTGTGAAGTTGGAGACCTTTGTTTCACGTATCAATGACACTAGGAGTATCCATGGAGTACCCTTCACAGAAGATGCGTCCAAGTTGGAGATGTATCCAGAAGATGTTATCCATGGAGTATCGAGAAGATGCATCCAAGTTGGCTCCCAACTTGGCTTTCCATCTTCCCAGGATGCGTCCAAGTTGTTAGACTCGACAGTCACAACCGTCGCAGCCATGGGCACTCCTGCACCATGCCTCCTGAGTCGGGCAACCGAGAAGCACCTGTTGGATGGGTAGCTGGGTTATGATGTTCTTGTGAGAGGAAGTCACTACTGTACATCATTTGATGCCAGTCATATCATGTCGTATCCAGTGTTGACAAATTACCTACTTCATGCAACATTACTATTTACGGTGAGGCAGGATTCTTTTTTTTTAATGTTTTTTTTGTAAAATACCTGCATTTCTTTAAGCAACCTGGATGCAAGCTGACCGTTTGTTCATATTTGTTCTATTGAGTTCCTTTGATGAACTTTGCCATACAGGATAGCACTCTAAGTTGGGGGCTCTGAAGAAACCCGTACAGGAACCTGAACCGAGCGCCGTGTTTCCGCCGATCGTCCTTTGAGAACCCCCCAATTTCGCACCAGAGCAATGGAACGTCTCGGCAGGCCATGGCGGCAGCAGTTGACCAACGGCTCTCAGCCATGGATTTGGAGCACCAGTGGAGGAGCTGCGGTAGATGAGCTTTGCACTCTCGAAGCAATTGAGGCTTTAGTTGGAGTCTACTTGTACATGTATAAAGATGCAGTTTGATTGCTAGAGTGAGGCAAGTCGAGCGCTGCAGAAGAAAAGACGACAAGTGACACATATGTTGCTATGTTGTTGTTTCAATATTTAACATATGATATAGAGGCTATCGGCATTGGTCTCCATTTCTTATAGCTATATTGATTTTCCCTTAGCTTGTGATTTGAGGTCAGCATACATACCAGGCAACATCAGTCCTGAACAGACGCCTGCTGAGTCTCATCCTGTTGAATTTGTGCTACCCATGAATCCATCATGGTGATATTATATATAGTGATAGTGATGGATTGGATGATCTTGGTTTGTGGACGCGAGTTCCTACGATTCCCCATAGACAGGATGCTCACCGCGACGCTCGACGGGTCACAGGATGCTGGGCCAGGGGCACCATCGTGGACACCAGCGCGGAGCGCCTGAAGGCGGATCGTCGAAGACCTGCCAGATGGACGAAGACAGGACGAACAGGTCTGCAGGCTTGAGGTCAAGTTGAAAATCCTGGAAGAACTTGAAGAAACTGAAACAATTCCTCAGAATGTTCGGGTGTTCTTTTGGACATCTCTAATAGGAACGATGAAATACTTTCAGCATCCCCCCTACAGGTGTGTTTTCGCACAGCGGCTACACATCAAACGTTTACTTGGCAGGACAGATTGAGCCCAGTTTGATCAACTCTGTTGAGCCTGCAATTCACATTTCAAGGCGTCATGGTGCCCAAATGTTGAATCCTTTCTGTCTAGCTTATGTTTTATGTTCGTTTGGCTGACCAACAGTCTGACCAACCATTGCTTGTAGGTAGTGCTGTGTTCTGTCCAATGTCACTATATTACCGACAAAACAATATGTATATATATATAATGATAACTGGTATTAGGTATCCTGCAACTGCTCACAGAACAAGAGATTTTGAGGTGTGAATTCTCATTTGCGCGCCTTGGCAATTCAGTATGGCCTGAAAATTACTGGTTTGTAGAGGAAAACCGTCTTTCAGGGTGCCATTCTCAGGGTCCATGTGTTAGTTTTTGGGGAGTGTAATTCAGTGACAAATTGGTGCCGAGGGCCTGGGGCGCCACGGATTTCTCCGTGGCGGCGTGCAGGTGGAATATGTCGTGAACGGCGAGCGCACGGGCACTCAGAGCGGAGAGCGAGGTTCGGGGATCCATAGTGGTTCATTTCTTTCTCCCATAGAAGACCACCCACTAAGGATGATCTCATATGATCACCATCCATCACCATCCCATGTGATCTAAACAAACCCATTCAAGGATGAGTTCACACAAGGAGAGGTGTGTGTTGGATCGTTGGTAGTTCCCCACGGCCCTGTGGTCTTCACGGCCACTTGGACACCTGCCAGTCATCGATACCGCGCCAGTCATCGACAAGACGGTCTTGCGGGAGTCTCCTCACCTGCGACAGGCGAGCTGCGGCGGTTGCGGGCCGCTCAGGATGCCTCTCCAGCTCACATGCATCTCGAGAATCACCGAAGTGTTCATGGGTGGTCAGGTGGAACAAAGTCGGATTCAGAAACTGCACTGTATTCAGAAACTAGTCTTCAGAAACTATTTCGTTGTATTCAGAAACTATTTCGTTGTATTCAGAAACTCTTGTATTCAGAAACTATTTCGTCGTATTCAGAAACTCTTTTCGTCGTATTCAGAAACTATTTCGTCGTATTCAGAAACTATTTCGTCGTATTCAGAAACTATTTCGTCGTATTCAGAAACTATTTTCGTTGTATTCAGAAACTATTCTCGTCGTATTCAGAAACTATTTTCGTCGTATTCAGAAACTACTGTTCCTCATGCTCAGAAACTTCTATTCCCAAACTAGGGGGCAATGTGAACAATCGCACGCGTGGACAGTTGATGCTTATTCA